AAGCTGCACAAATAGAAACACCAATAATAGGTATTACCCATGGCCATTCCCAGATAATAATTGAGAGAATAGCCGTAAGCATTAACCAAAGCATCAAAGAAGAAACGCTTGTTCTGAAACATCATCCTCACAGAAAATTAGGGAAGACCCTTTTGCCTAAAGATAAATCATGCACCTGACCTCTGAGCCCCAACTCAGAGAGAAACTAAGAGAGCATTGAGCTGTAACTTTTCAAGGGCAAATTTTTTTTTTCTTGTTTATGATCATTAGAAATGGATATTGTTACAGTATCAACTTAAGAAAGTTTTGAAAGGCATGTTCACCTCTTTGCAAACTTGCAGTTGAACCTTCAGGTTAATGGCGGTTAGGTGAGCTGCATATGCCTTTGATCCAGAACACCAACGTTGTACTTGTTTATTAACATGGTATCATTGTATGGGACACAACACACCCGTGTAAGAACAAAAGTTATTATAGTAAGTTAAAACCTTGCTTAGTAGACCAATTTGGGGTTGATTCAAATGACAGGTGCTTGATTCGGCATTAAGTAAGGTTTGGGTTTAAGTCCATAGGAATGCAAAAAAAAAAAAAAAAATTGTGGAAGCATTAGCATGACATAGAAATTCTTAGCTCGATTAAAATTGTTCTCCAAGAGAATACTTATAGTTTTGTTGAATATAATGAACAAGGAGATTTATAAATAATCTGTGTGTCTCAATTACAGCAGAAAGTCTATTATATAACTTAAAAGAAAGAAAATATAAAGAGTTATATATGATATGAGACTTCTATACTACTATTCTAAACTATTATTTACAATACTCTCCCTCAAATTGGAGCATATAGATCATATGCACCAAGCTTGTTACATAAGTGATCTATCCTAGGCCCTCTCAAAGACTTAGTGAAAACATTAGCTAATTGATTAGTTGAGTTAACAAAACTAATGACTATATCTCCAGAGAGGACTTTTTCTCTAATAAAATGACAATCTATCTCAATGTGCTTGGTCTTTTCATGAAACACTGGATTGGAAGCAATATGTAAAGCAGCTTGATTATCGTAAATTAGAGATGATGTGCCAATGTCTCCAAATTTGAGTTCCTTCAATAGTTGTTTTAACCAGATAAGTTCACAAGTGGTTGTGGCCATGGAGCGATATTCAGCTTCAGCACTTGATCTGGCAACTACACTTTGTTTCTTGCTTTTCCAAGAAACCAAGTTACCTCCAAGGAATACACAATACCCAGATGTGGATCTTCTATCACTGGGGGAACCTGCCCAATCAGCATCTGAGTATCCCTCAACTCTGGTATGACCTTTGTTTTTATAGAGGAGACCTTTACCTGGAGCATTCTTGATGTACTTGAGGATACGGATCACTGTTTTCCAATGATCTTCACAAGGAGAATTCAAGAACTGACTTACTACACTGACTGCAAATGAGATGTCTGGTTGAGTAACTGTAAGATAATTTAGCTTCCCAACCAATCTTCTATACCGTTCTGGATCTGAAAATAGCTCCCCCTGATTTGGCATAAGCTTGACATTTGGATCCATAGGGGTATCGACGAGCTTAGCATTCAACAAAGTTGTCTCCTCTAGAATGTCCATAGCATATTTCCTCTGAGATATCACAATACCATCCTTGGATTGAGCCACTTCAATTCTCAAGAAATATTGTAGTCTTCCGAGATTCTTTGTGTGAAAATGATGACTGAGATGTTGTTTTAACTGAGTAATGCCTTGATGGTCATCACCTGTAATGACAATGTCATCAACATATACCATCAAATAAATGAATCCAGAGTCTGAGTGGCGATAAAAGGTTGAGTGATCCGAGTCATACCAAATTGTTGGACAATGGTGTTAAACCTCTCAAACCAAGCTCGTAGAGACTGTTTGAGACCATACAAGGATTTGCGGAGTCGACAAACTAGACTGGACTCCCCCTGAGCAACAAATCCAGGAGGTTGCTCCATATAAACTTCTTCCGCAAGATCACCATTGAGGAAAGCATTTTTGACATCCAATTAATAAAGGGGCCAGTGACGGATAGCAGCCATAGTAATAAAGAGGCGAACAGACGCCATTTTTGCCACAGGGAAAAATGTATCCTGATAATCTTCACCAAACACCTGAGTGTATCCCTTGGCCACCAAACGTGCTTTGAGACGATCCACTTGTCCATCAGGACCAACCTTAACAGAAAATATCCATCTACATCCAACAATAGATTTTCCAGAGGGAAGAGGAACCAGATCCCAAGTATCACTGCCATGAAGTGCACACATCTCTTCAATCATAGCCTGTCGTCATCCGGGATGGGATAATGCCTCACCTGTAGTCTTAGGAACAGATATAGAAGACAAAGAAGAACAACAAGCAAAATGTGATGGAGAAAGGCAATGATAACTCATATTTATTGAATACCTGGGTGGAAGACGAATATTACGAGTACCTTTTCGGAGAGCAATGGGTAGGTCAATGTCGGAGGGCGGGACCAAAGCCACATGAGTTGATGATGGCAGATCTGAGTCCATAGGAACCTCATCAATGTCTTGGGGTATGGTTGGATGTGACCAATGGTGATAAACCTGGAGAGAAGGATCTGGTGCTGAGACATATGTAGAATTGACAGTAGGCGGTGGTGGTGTGGAATCTGGTGCCGGAACATATTGAATTGGAACAAAGAGCAAAGGTAACTGAGTATCAATAGAGTCATCGAAAATGGAGGTGGAGCCAAAAAATGGCACAGACTCAAAGAAAGTAACATCCGCCTAGACAAAAGAGCGACAAAGACTAGGAGAGTAACACCGATAACCTTTTTGTGTCCGGGTGTAACCGAGGAACACACATTTGTGGGATTTGGCAGACAACTTGTCACGATTGGGACCGAGTTCATGGACAAAACAAGTAGAACCAAAAATACGAAGGGATAAGAAATGTAAAGGCTAATAGGAAAACAAGATAGAGTACGGTACCTGGTTACCAAGGACAGAGGAAGACATGCGATTAATGAGATAACATGCGGTGAGAACAACATCATCCCAAAAATTGGTAGGAACATTCCCATGAATTAAGAGTGTCTGAGCTGTTTAAATAAGATGATGATCTTTTCTTTCAGCAACCCCGTTTTGTTGGGGGGGTGTGCGCACATTATGTGTGGTGAAGAATGCCGTGAGAGGCCATGAATGATTGAAATGGTTGAGACTGATACTCACGAGCATTATCACTACGAAAAGTGCGGATAGGAATACCAAATTGAGTAAGAATTTCATGATAAAACTTCTGAAATATGGAGAACAACTCATAGCGATTTTCCAGTAAAAATAATCAAGTGTTTCAAGAATAATCGTCAATAAAGGTAACAAAATATCTATAACCCCGAGTTGATTCAGTACGACTGGGTCCCCAAACATCAGAGTGAACCAAACTAAAAGGAGAGGAGGCACGGCGATTGACTCTATTAGGAAAATAATTGTGAGTATGTTTCTCGAATTGACATGATTCACATTGCAAAGTAGACAGCTTGGACAAACGTGACACCATCTTCTGGAGCTTTGTAAGACTAGGATGACCCAACTGAGCGTGAATAGTGAGTGGAGAATCTAATACAGAATGAGCATGAGAGGAGCTGGAGAGCAGGTAAAGGCCGTTGGACTCAAATTCGCCGCCAATTGTCCTCCTCGAATTTCGATCCTGTAAAACAACAGAATTTTAGGTAAAATAAATGAGACAATCAAGAGAACGTATTAAACGGCTAATGGAAATGAGATTAAAGGGTGAACCAGGGACATAGAGCACATTATCAATAGAAATGGAGGGAAAGAGATGTATTGTTCCAATCCCATGAGAATGAACCTGGGAACCAATAGCCATAGTGTCAGCAGGAAAATAACCAGGGGTAGAAAGAGAGGAAAACAAAGATTTATTACCAGAAATATGATCAGAGGCACCAGAATCAAGAATCCAATGACCAAATGATGAACTTTGAGTGAAACCAACAAAGCTATTACTTGTATGCACAACAGTAGCAGTGGAACCAGGGATCTTGAGCCGAGAAATATCTTGAGGAAGGATAAATGAGCTAGAATCAGCCATGGATCAAGAACAATTCGCTGAAACAAAGATGTCGAGAACAGTAATGGAAAGAGGATAAATGCTTCAGAAGGGCCGCAACGGACTCGAAACCACAAGGTAAGGATTGATTTGAACTCGGAAGGAGAGGGCGATCCCTACGATGGAAGTCGCAAGTATGTTTCACGCGCGTGAGGGTGCGTCAGTGGAAATTTGGGTGCGGGCCTTGGATGGAAAAAACCGTCTCCTTGTGACGATCACAACTGTGGGTGGCTCGCCGAAAAAAGTGCCTGAAAAGTGATTGGTGGTGGCGGTCAACGGCGATCAAACAGTGGTCCACGGCGCTGGCAACCTCTGATGATGGTGGGTCTTGCGACGTTGGGTAGATCGGCTTCTTCTGAGTTCGTTGATGTACTTTTTGATCAAAACGGTTGCCAGAAAACTTTTCAGGTGGAGGACAGTGGTGGCAGACAGTGGCCGAAAACCGATGACGGTGACAGTTTATGGAAAGATTTTTACTCGATTGACAGTGGGTCTACCGGAAAAATGTGAATCTTGTTAGGCTCTAGATACTATGTTGAATATCAGGAACAATGAGATTTATAAGTAATTCGTGTCTCAACTACACAGCGGAGAGTCTATTATATAACTTAGAAAGAAAATACAAAGAGATATACATAATATGAGACTTCTATACTACTATTCTAAACTATTATTTACAACAAGTTTATATATAAAAAAAATTGTTTAATAGTATGATCCTAGTAGGACATAGAAACATGAATCGCATATAAAAAAAAATGGATGATTTGCTCATAAATAATTAAAATCCTCCCGCGTGTATTAACTAATACATTAGACGATTCACTCTCATTTTTTTATTTTTTGGTTATTTCCAACCTCGTTAGGAGCCACACAGCACAAATACAAGTCAATTGATACAAAGAGATTGATTTACATGAAACCTAATGGCTCCGAAGCCTAAACTCGGGTCGTCGGGGTCGCAGCCTGCGCCTCCTCCTCCCCTCGAAGATCTCTTCTCCACACTCAACAGACACATTCAGGCTTCCGCTTTCGACAATGCCGTCAAACTCACAGATCAGAGTCCGTCTATTTCACACTCTTCTTCTTAAATCCCTTTTATTTCTTCTTATCTATATTTACATATATATGTATCCCTTAATATTCCTTTGTTTTTCATCCCAAAATTGTTCGCATCGCAGTTCTCGCAGTTGCACCTGGCGATGAAGACGCGCTCCGATGCAAGGTCGTGGCTCTTATCAAACATGAACGCTTCGACGATGCACTATCCGCCATTCAATCTTCTCGGACGCCGCCCGATGATTTTCATTTCCTTAAGGTCCGTCCGTGAATATCGTTTTTTATTTTTATTTTCGGCTGAAAAAATTAAGACAGTGTATTTTTATTTTATTTTTTATTAATTGAAGTTTAGATTATCCCTGGTTAGGAGAGACCATCAATCTCACTGAGGATTTATAGTAGGATTACATATCCCTTACCATAGGTTGCCCTAGAATTGAACCCCTGTCCTGGCTTTGCAGAACAATTTGCCACTTTTGTTTCAAGTTACATGTGTGAGTATTATTATTCCAAGGATTTTCCTTTTCTTTTTCTGGTGAATTCTATAATTATCTACCTTATTACCATTCTTCCTGCTGGGTCAATCTAAGTTGAAGAAACAAGTTTTGGAACTATTCTGGTTGCAAGAAAGGTTGATTTTCTGGATACTGGATGGAAAAGGCAAGAAGCATTTTAGGAACTGAGGAATGAGGATTTAAGTTACTGGAGTAGAAAAGCGGTTTACAGTCGAAATAGAGGGAGAAAAAGGAGTGGCAGTGCAGATTATCCTTAGTGCGATTGTAAGAGTGAACATTGTGACCGCAAGAGATTCATCCGAAGAAGGCAGGAAAGAGCTGTAGGCTACATACCTCAGGATCAAAGATTCAAGTACTTATTAAGTTATTATGAAATCTTCGTAGTCCTAACTTTCAATTTTTGACTTGTTTATGAACTTGGAAGTTTTCTGCTGCTATACGTTGGACTTTAATTTATCAACCACTTTTTCCAACCTGGGTGTGTTATTTGGATTGTTAGATGATTGAGATTACAAATAACTGAACTTCAAACTGAAGAAAAAGGTAGATAGAATTTTAGGTAATTTGTTTATTTTTTGTGTATGTTCTCGTTGGATGTACATGTTTTTCATTTCCTTGGGCAACTTAAGTTGGTTGTGTTAGTTGTATCAATATGTCATCGTGTCAGTATAATTTGTTTATATTTTTTCTGTAAGTCCAAGTCCACATACAGGCTACATTGTTTTTAAAAGAAAACTATGCAGACCCCATTGTTTTGAAAGTTTCATGCTGTTGAGCATTTACATATTTCACAGTGAACTTTGTTAGAGTTCATCATGCAATTGCTTTGTACATGATCTAATGGAACATGTATATGCTTACCATTGATTGTTCCTTTTTACTTTGCTGTTTCTAAATAGGCATACTGCTTATACAAACATAACAAGTTGGATGAAGCTTTGGGGTCTTTGAAAAGACAAGAGAGAAGTGATGAAAGTATGCTATTGGAGTCTCAGATTTTGTATCGTCTTGGGAAAATGGATGCTTGCATCGATATCTACCAGAAGCTCCAAAAATCCAAGCTTGATAGCTTGGAAATAAATACTGTTGCTGCCCTAGTTATGGCTGGGAGGTCATCTGAAGTGCCAGGAATGCTGGATTCACTTCGGGTTAAAGCAACTAGCAGCTATGAATTGGCATACAATACTGCTTGTTCTTTAATTGAAAGGAAGAAGTACACAGATGCAGAACAACTCTTATTGTCGGGCCGAAGGTGATATCCTATTTTGATTGTGGAAATCATGATATTGAGCAAATTAACCTCAACAGTTTCATCAGGAATATGTAACATTATAGAATAACCATCATTTTTTTAAATCTCTGTGGTGTGTAATTTTATCTACTGCACTTCTTGAGTATGGTTTGAGATGGCATTAAATAAGCATATTAGTATCTTTAGAAAAATATTTTATATAGCTTTTGTATATGAATTTTATGTACTTGTGAGTTATGGTACAAACTTAAATCATTTGACCTTTGAACAATAGTAATAGGCCCTTTATGGTCGGAGTTCACAGGAACATAAATTCATGAATTAAAGAGCATGACGAGAATTTCTCAATTCCCCTGTTAAGGGTCTGAGGTCATTGGCCTCCATTTGTGTGGGTTTTGGATAGTAGACTTTTGATCCTTCATTTTGAAGGTTGGGGACTTATATTCTACTGTAGAATATTAGCATCTTCCAGAGAGAAAGAGGAGCCCTTGAGTCCCTTGCTGAATCAGGTGTTAGTCTTTCTCATGTTCGAGGTCTCGGAAGTGTGATTGGAATGTAGGGTGTGAGTATCCTATCTAAGTCCCACATTTGAAAATAATATATAAAGGACCGTATGAGATGGAGGGATCCATGAATCTAATATCTCATGGTATTAGGTTGAGATGTGGTGTTAGCTTCTCTGGTGTGGTTTCTCATTAAGTTCATTGGAGTCAGATATCGCTGGTGTTTCTCAATACATTTGACCCTAACAAGACATCAAAGCTGATGGTTCATCTTGGACGAGTATTGGAGAAATGGTAGCTGATGAACTGCATTACAAGCCATGTGGCTTGGTGTGGGGAAGAGTGGTAACACAATAGTCAAGACTTGGCTTCTGAAAAAGTGGGCTTGGTGCTTAGGAAAAGGTGGTTGACTGATGAATACTTGAGAAAAGGCTTCTGTTCAAGGGGGAGTGTGAAGGACATACTACTGAGGCTTGTCAAAAGCATTGAAGGATGGGAAGCCAAAAAATATGATAGATAGTGTTGAGGATGAACAGATCTTGTGGGGCTACACATGTTCATTGATTGAGATGTTCAAATCAGGTGGAGTCATGGTTATGGTTGATTCAGGTTATTTGTAGTTGGTGCATGTGTAGAAGCCATAAATATTTTTTTTCTTGTTTGTGATTTTTGACAAATAAAAGTTCTTAATGGTGTTCATGGAGGTTGGCATTTGACTTGGCTTAAGGTGGAGCTGTTATAAATTTCAAAGATGGCATGACATTCGCCAATGTTGAGATTTGTTGGGAAATTGGCTCATGTATTCTGATAAGGATTGGTTTTATTTATGTTCATCCTTATTAAGCATCCTTGGTGATTTAGGAAATCTAAAGGATTTGAGAGAATCTAAATTCTGAAGGATCTTTGAAAATCTACAAGATTTGGGAAATCTATCAGAAAACCTTGAGGCTGAGGAGTTTGGGTTATCAATTAAACCAATGGCCTAGTGATTATGTGAGAGAGAGAGGAGTTCTTTGGGTTATGAGAGAGGTTGTACAAGGGTCTTTGGGTTTGGGTTTGGTTTTAAACTTAGTGATTATTCTTTTACTATTTTTTCCCTCGTGAAATTGTTTTATTTGAGAGGGCGAACCTTGAAGCAGTAATAAGGGTGCTCCTTTGTGACCGGAAGTTCTTGCATTTGATTCTAGAAAACAACCTCTTTATAAAAATGCAAGGTTAAAGCTTCTTAAATTGACCCTCTCATCTACCCTCATAAAGTTGGGTAGCCTTTGTGCACTGGGGTTTGCTCTTGCCCTTTAGGGAAGTTGTTTTATTCTCTGGAGTGTATGTAGTCATGTGGACCTGCCGAATCAAATTCTTGTGTTTCCATGTTCATATTTCATCTGTTAATTTCCTTTTTGTTTGCGTTTTGGACTCCCCTTATGGCTTAACACATTTATCATATATTCTGTGTGTTGTGGTTTGTATTTTCTGGTGCAATCACTTATTGGCTGTTCTTCCCATTTTTGGTACTCTGTATGTCTGCTTGAATGAGTATAAGTTCTGTTACACATTAGAAAAATATGTCATCTATGGTATCTTGTCCTGTTTTAAACCTGTTTAGATCTTTAGAAATTAGAACATGGTGGGGCAGAATACACTCAGGTAAGCTATAGGAGTATAGGTATGGCACTAATGAGGTTCACTCGTAAGATGATCACAATCTTGTTCACATGACAGCCAGAACTGGTTTATTGAGTGTGGCTGGATATCTTTCTGTTGACACTTAATGAGATTTCCTAACAGTTGTTAGGATCCTAAGATGGTGTGTGCATGGTGTTGGAATTGTGTGACCACAGTGAATGCTGTGCTGTTTCTATATTACAAGGAATATAAAATAAGAAACATGTGGAGGTTTAGCCAAATTTCTGGACAAAAACTGATTTCCCCTGTATCTAGATATGCAAAGACTACATTGACAATATGTTTATTGAGTCTATTTCGAGGGCCTTGTGCAACTGCAATGCATGAAGCTATCTGCTAGAGTTGTGCACCAAATTTAGTGGCATATTTTATTAGGCACAGTAAATGAAGCACAATCTGAATTTCATAGTTGATTATTTCAATTAAATATTGCTTTAATTTTATTGTTTGTTTTGCTTATCAGTCAGTGGTCTTTACTTAATAACTTATAACGTATTAAACCCTAAACTTATTACCCTGGATACTGTCCCTGAAGTGGCATATACTCATGTTTATTCATATATTTGGATCAGGATTGGTCAAGAGATCCTGATGGAAGATAACTTGGCCGATGATGAGATAGAAATTGAATTGTCTCCTATAGCTGTACAATTGGCCTATGTCCAGCAGGTAAAAGTTCTGATTTCTCAAAATTTATTTCTCCTTCAACCAAATATTACTTTTTTAAGTGCGAGAAATATTAATTAATCATATATGAACAGCTTCTTGGGCGTAAGCAAGATGCTATTGAAGCTTATACAGATATTATTAAACGAGATATGGCCGATGAATCATCAATTGCAGTGGCAGTGAACAATCTTGTTTCATTGAAAGGTCCAAAAGATGTTTCTGATAGCCTAAGGAAACTTGATCGGCTAAAAGAGAAAGAGACACAGAACTTTCGGCTTGCTCGGGGACTGGATTTGAAACTTTCAGCAAAGGAAAGGGAAGCAATATATGCAAACAGGGTCCTTTTGCTTCTTCATGCCAATAAAATGGATCAGGTCTTTCATCTTTCTTTCTCTTGTTGTCATTCTACTTCTTGAATTGTCCATTATGTGTCATTAGTTCTTTTCTTTGAAATTTGGCAATGTGTCATTAGTTCTTTTCTTGGAAACTTGGCAAGGGAGCATGCCGATGATGATTTCTGTGTTTTCAAAATTTGTAGGCCCGAGAACTTGTTTCTGAATTGCCAAACATGTTTCCTGAAAGTGTGATACCAGTATTGCTACAAGCTGCCCTCTTGGTTAGAGAGAACAAAGCTGGAAGGGCTGAGGAAATACTAGCACAGTTTGCTGGTAAGTTCCCTGAGAAGTCCAAGGTTGTTTGGTTAGCCAGGGCTCAGGTGGCTGCTGCTGCTGGCCACCCACATATTGCAGCTGATTCTCTGGTTAAGATATCGGATATCCAACACATGCCTGCTACTGTTGCCACGCTTGTGTCTTTAAAAGAGCGAGCTGCTGACGTTGACGGAGCAGCTGCTGTGCTTGACTCTGCAACCAAATGGTGGTCCAATGCTATGACTGAGGACAATAAGCTTAATATTATAATGCAAGAGGCTGCTTCATTCAAGCTGAGGCATGGCAGGGAAGAGGATGCTGCTCAACTCTATGAGGAGCTCGTTAAAAGCCAAGGAAGCATAGAAGCACTAGTTGGGTTGGTAACAACAGTTGCTCGCTTGGATGTTGTTAAGGCAGAGCTTTATGAAAAGCAACTGAAGACCTTACCTGGTTTGAAGGGAATTGATGTGGACAGCTTGGAACGTACTTCTGGAGTGAAACAAGTTGACGCTCCTCCTCAAGTTGGTGTAACTGAAACTTACGAGGAAGGAAAGAATAAGACAAAAGCTAAGAAAAAGAGAAAGAGAAAGCCAAGGTATCCTAAAGGGTTTGACCCTGCAAAACCAGGTCCTCCCCCAGATCCAGAGAGGTGGCTTCCCAAGCGGGAGAGATCAACTTATAGGCCTAAGAGGAAGGACAAAAGAGCTGCTCAGGTGAGAGGTTCTCAGGGTGCTGTAGTTAGAGAAAAGCATGATGCTGTTGCCTCTTCCAGCAATTCAAATCCTAAATCAAACCAGTCAACTGCCTCCAAAGGAGCTACGCAGAATGCAGTTTCTGAGCAAAACAAGCCTTCATCATCCAAGTCGAGAAAGAAGTCTAGGAATTGACCAGGTTTTATGGTACTTTTATTAACATTTTTTATTCCGGACAATTTGTTAATGCTGCTTTTAGTGACTAAGCCAAGGGTCCATCTAAAATTCGTGGTTTCAATTTCAAAACCGTCAGTTTTGGTTCTAGCAAATGAGTATATCTGTTAGGGGTGCTGACTGCTGAGTGTTGTGCAAGTTTGTCATTCGTAGTTTATAAGTTCTGGAGATTCACGGAAATCGATCACCTGTTTTTGTTGCTTAATGCCTATGGTTCCTTTTGTTTTTGGCTGTGGTCTTTTTCCAATTGGTCAAGTATATTATAGGTGTTAATTTTTTTTATATTTATTATCTAACTATATTGATACTGATAAATCATCGATGAATTCTGACTATTACAATCGTTATTAAAAGGTTTAAATTTTTAGTCATGGATTAATGCACCTTAGGATCATACTGTATCAGTAGTTTATCAAATTTATCTCTTCGTAATACATCTTTAGTCTCATCGCTATCAACGTATATTTTGTGCATGATTTGTCTATATCCAATTCATGTAGCTCTTATTGTATAACTTTAAGACACGCACATAAATTTTATGTATGTGATGTGCAATTCAGCCATGGTGCAATTTCTCTTGTTCTTTCTCTTGTACCAAATGAAATAAATAGAAAGATGCTTCTTATTGTAAGTTTCACGAGCCCACCATGAATTTCATACATTCAATAAAATAATCTTACGGTTGGCAAATCCGACCGCATTACTTACCGGACATTTTTTAGGGAGACTGCTTAGGCAATCGTAATTTTGTTTTTTCAAAATTTTTGACAGATTAAGTTATCAAAATTCTATCAAGCAGATAAAAAAAACTACATTGTATTGATTTTTTTAATTTTTTTTTTAAGCGTAGCATTATCTATTTATATATAAAATTTACACCAATAATGTACTAAAAAAAAATTACACCAATATAAATTTTAAACAGGAGACACGCTATACGCGTGGATTTTTTTATGGAGTGCGGAAAAAAAAGAGAGTAAGGAAATGATGTTAAAAATAAATAAATAAAAGCAAATGTCATTGTCCTTGCAGCAAATATAATCGAAATTCAAACAAGACACTCAATATACTCGTTTTTTTTGTCTTTATTTCTCTGGTAACGAGTAATTCATAGTCAATAACATCTTATTTGTTAACATTTTTATTATTGATTTTCTTTATAAAAAAAAAGCCACAAACACCATATTACGTTTTAATAAATATGCCAGTACATTATTTCATATAGATTATATTGACATGACATTGAAACTAATGAGATGAGATCTTTAAATCAGAAGTTGACAATTTTTTGTATTGGTCTCAAATCTCTTACAATCAAAGAAGAAGAAAAATGTTAAAAAAGAAGAAGAAGAAAAAAAAACTGCTTAACAACAAAAGGACATATAAACCCACGGAAAAGTATAAAATAAAAGCTGATTTCTATGGCGCTTGCCTGTCATTATCCACATCCCACGCTTTTGGGATGACATTTAATTTGTCTTACTTAATCAGGTGTAGTTATTATTTAATAATAAAAAGGTTATAAAAAAAGTTGATCCAAGTGTTGGCCGACGTATTTGCTAATCCAAAAGTGTTTTACCGAAAACATAATGAACTATAAATATAGGGTTTTATAATTCTTATGTTGAAGGAGAATTGAAATTTCATGTTGTAGAGATAAAAAGCATGTGGGACCCATGTGTTAGAAAAAATTATATGTAGAATCCATGTCAGCACGGAAATCAAAGGGTGCGTAGGAAAATTGCAATTCTCATGTTAAATGAGAATTATAAAACCCATAAATATAATTAGTTTCATTTTTTCTGGAGATCAATATAATAAGTTTTTTGTGTGTGTTTCTGTTGGGTATTTTAGAGTTAAAAATAATGTTTTAATAATTTTCTAAAAGAGTTTGTTTTAAATATTTATATTTAATAAAGATGTTTTAAACACGCAGTCACAAAAAAAAAATTGTTGGACATTCATCTAAAATTAATTATTGAATGTACAATTTGTTTAAAATCGAATTTATCTAAACAATATGTTTTGAAAAAAAAATGTATATGAATCCACTTAATTAATTAGCTGTTTTAAAAAATTAAATACATGATTAATCATAAAATTTCTATAATTACCGATCAACTATCAAATTTAAAATTTGACATTGAAAAGGGAATAAATAAAAGTGTAATAGAATTTATTTAGAAACTGGTAGGACTTTCCACAATTGGGTTGGAAAATTAAAACTCAGCAAATGACACTATTGGCGGAGAAGGTATACTAAAAACTAATCAACTCCAATACCATATAGTTCACCCATTTTTTTAGCTGTACCATTAATTGCACATTATTTGCACACCCACTCCAGTCTCAACCATGAAGCTATCCTAACACTTTCTGATATCATAGTTCTAACTTAAACAAACACCATGTACTGGACGGAACCAGAAACAGAAATAGACAGAGTGTTGAATCTGTTATTGAAAATATTATTTTATTTAGGATTTAATATTTTTGTTTTTATAGCAAAAATAATATCTCTGTCACATTCCCATAAAAATGAGTAGGTATTATTAATTTCTTTTATAATGGGACCTATCCACTTTTATGTGAGTGTGACAGAGAAATTTGTTCTGTAGAAAAAATAAAAATACTTTTCCTTTTTATTTTTATTTTAATATTAGTTGTTTAAAGTTTTTATATAAGAATTTACAAATTTGTTGAATATTTTTTAACTGTAAAAAATATCTATTATAATTTTAAGCGTATTTTTTTTTTATAGGTTAGAGTATCTATTAAGACTAATTTCTTTATTTCCTCATATCTTATTATTTATTATTTATTTTAAAAGTCTTTTAGTGATGTAAAATATGACTTGTTAAAATAATTAAAAAAAGAGTAAATATCATTTTCAGTCCCTAACAATATCCACGAAGTCTTTTTAAATCCCTAGCAATAAAAAGGGACAAATTGGTCCCTGAAATAACAAAAAGGGGTCACGTTGATCCTTCTGTTAACTCCCGCGTAACGGCCAAACTAATGGTGCCCATGTGGCACGTTAGTATGCTGACGCGGCTTGGACGTTTGACAACGTGGAAGAAGAGACAACAACGTTTTGTTGCAAATGGGTTGAGAGCTTTCCAAATTAGCGGACGACGTCGTTTCTTGCGTTGAGAATGAACCCTGAAGATGAAAATCGCCCAAAATGCTCAATCGAACCGTAAACACCAAAATCCCCCAAATTGATTAAATGAACCCTAAACAGAAATAAGCCCCCAAATTCTCCCGACGTTGATGACTGAAAATCGACGACAGTGGAAGACATCTACCGGATTTGCTGGGGCGTAGGAGAAGATGAGTCTTTCTTTTGGCATAGGGGGATCAAGTAGGAGTACTTCAATAGGGGGAAGAACACTGACAAGGACTGCCGATCGTAGGTGCAAATGTGGGAGACAAAGTATTGTCTATACCTCCAAAACTGAGAGAAATCCAAACAGGGCTTTCCTTGGGTGTCCTAATTTCAAGGTATACATGTGTAATCTGCCCCTTTATTAAGTTGAAACACTTGCTAATCGTGGTTTGTTTTCTTGGCAGGAGAAGAAGCCGTTTTGTGATTGTTTTAGATGGGTAGATGACATCTGTAATGAACGGATGGAGCTGGAAGATGCAAGAATTCACAATGTGGAGTTGGATGTTGCTGAAATTAATTTCAAGTTGAAGTATGTGGACATGATGATGAGAAAGCAAGATGTGAAGATTAGTGAGCAAGAAATTAAGCTTCATGAGCAGGAAAGAAAGCTGAATGACCTATACCTGAAGATGGTGGAGGAGTTAGATAGGATAGACAAACAAATTAGGAATGTTGGTAGGTCAGCTAGGGTCTTAGGAGCTGCTTGTGTAGGTGTGATCATCTATGTTTGTTGTTAGTGTTGTAACAGTAAAAATAAGTTACCCCAATGTATTTTTTCTTCAATAGTGTAATGAGTACTCAGTAATCTTGTTATCCAAATTAATGAAGAAGGATGTATTATATGGCCTATTCTGTGTTGGTTGGAATCTGTCTGCATCATACATTTCTGGATTAATAATAAAGAAGCTTTCAATGTATTCCTTTATGTATGATTGCATCATATATTTGTGTATTCAATGCCATCTCAATGCTATTTTTGTTGTAATATGGTATATTGCATACTTAGGCATGGAATGAATATGTCAGTTTGCTGCATTGTATCACAAACCAGAATGTACAGTTATAGATGCCTAAATCAAGAAATTGTTACACAAGTTCCATGTTGGACATTAGATTTGTCAATCATGCCAAAACACGAGGGCCATTTTGGTCCCTGACAAATTGCACGAGGACCTTTTTGGTCCCTGACAAAAAGCACGGGCCCTTATTGGTCCCTAACCAGAGAAAAATAGGCACATGACTTCATTGATTTTCTATGCATTCCAAGTTTACAAAACAGATGTGCAGAATGTACAGATACAAGAGTGCTTTCCAATTTGTTAAAACAGAAGACATGGATGTCCAAGAACTACAATTACATATCTCAATTTAAAAACATAAAAAATGGTAAACTTAAACATTCATCAATCATCCACTAACATACTAGCTGGAACATGATACTACCCTGTGACCTTTTTGGTCCCTGACAAAAAGCACGGGGCCCTTATTGGTCCCTAACCAGAGAAAAATAGGCACATGATAAGATTGGTTTTGTATGTAGTCCAAATTTACAAAACAAAAGTGCATTACATCAGATACAGGAGTGCTGTCAAATTTGTTAAACCAGAAGACATGGATGTCCAAGAACTACAATTACATATCTCAGTTAAAAAACATAAAAAATGGTAAACTTAAACATTCGTCTACCCTGTGACACATAATAGCTGGAACATGATTTAAGTTTCATTATATTTCAAGACATGGATGTCAGTAGTGCATTACAAAATAAAGCCAACCGCCAGGAATCAAAAGAAAGGCCTCTAAATACAATATGCCAGAATTCACAAAAAAAAACATTGACTATATAAGGCCTCCAAAAACATAATGGCCAAAATTTACAAAAAAAGTCAGTCACATTATATGCAGTCCTTGTCAGTTGGCTCATGCACTACTCCCAGGTCATATACAGCAGCAGGTCATTTTCTTGAGGCAGACCTTGGTGGCCTAAAACAAGGTGTTGTCATGAAGGCCAAAAATCTGCTTCGTGTGCCACTGGTTGTTGTATTCATTGTCTCCTCACTCAACATTTCATTTGCCTGTTGTGGATTTGATGGAGGTGGGTTGCTTCCTCTCAAGTTGCCTTCATGTGGCTGAGAACTACCAAGTGCTGCAGGGCCTCCTTGACTTAATGAGATTTCATCTACTGAGCTGGATCCAATCTTTACAGATTCTGGTCTTGCTTGTCTGTTACCTTTGTTGGAAGTTGGTGGTCCCTTAGAGCTCTTTGCATAGTGTCCAGTCTGACCACATTTAGGATACTTGGCTGCATATGTCCTTTTCACTTTCTTTGTACTGCTCCCTTGCTCTTCAGTTGGGTCTTTCTTCCTGTGTTTCTTGGGACGCCCAATTTGCCTTTCCAGTTTTGGAGGAAGAGGTTTGGGTTCATCAGATGAAGGTCAATACTTGTCTGAATTTACTAGGTTCAAGGTGTGTGCATAAATGGCATGCAATGCATCCACTTTAAGCCATTGATGGACATAGTTCTCAGGTGGTTCATTTTTGTGACAAATGGCTGTTATTGCATGCTCACATGGAAGTCCAATCAACTGCCATGCATTGCATGCACAAGTATGTGTTGTTAAATTAACTCCAACTCTCTCACCCCTCCCACTAACTTCATACATATCTTCCTGCAGATTTCCTGTCCAAGTTGGTGTCCATGAATTTCTCAGAACCTTTCTTTGATCTAGTTTCTTTTGTTGAGCAGGAGGTATTTTACCCCTGATAGTTCCTAAAACCCTTTGATGTGCTGCCATCCTCCTCATAATGTAGCACCTCAATTCCTCTAAGAGAGTTATTATTGGTTTGGACCTATACCCAACAATCTTGACATTCCATATCTCTTCCATGTTGTTTGTGATGTTATCACATTTAGGCCAGTGGCTGAAATAAGCTTTTACCCAACTTGAGGGATCAATGTTGTCCAAGTACTTCCATGCTTCCTCATTCATCCCTTTCAAACGTGTCATTGACTTCTGGAACTGGGGGACAATGTTGCATCTTGAACACTCCCAGACAATGCCTCTGATTGCCTTGTCTTTCCACTGTTTTATAAAGTTCTTCCAGACATGTTGCACACAAAAACGATGATGTGCACCAGACATCACCTCTTAAAGTGCTGGAATCAACCTCTGCACACAGACACCAAAGAACCAAAAAAACCATGGCTAATATAAGGAACATTGTCAAAAAAACAGAGGAAAAAATAAAGTAAGATCAATTGAATAAGCAATACAAACCTTCTGTTGATCTGAAATAAAATTCCACCCATACACTTAATGGTTGCCAATGTCTTCTTGTAAAAAGGGTTAAAAACCATTTCCAGTTCTCTTTTGTTTCACTATCCACCACTGCATATGCGATGACATAGAAGCTCTTGTTCGCATCCTCCCCAACTGCACTTAACAATTGTCCTCCATAATATCCTTTTAAAAAACATCCATCCAGACCAATTAAGGGCCTGTAGCCAGCTTTGAACCCTCTCTTACATGCATCAAAACAAATGTACAACTTAGAAAATATGGGTGGGGCTTGTGGATCAGGTTGTGGTATGACTTGCATTTGACAAGTAGAGCCTGGATTGCTTCTCAAAAGCTCTCCTAAGTAGTCTCTCAATTTTGCATATTGCTCTTTTTCACACCCTTCAATTCTGGCCTTGGCTTTATGAAGTGCCTTGGTCACTTTCTTTAAATGGACATGGACCTTATACTCCTCTTTCATATGTTCATAGGCCTCAGCCCTTGCCATGTTCGGTTGTGTCATTAGCCTTTTTTCTAACTTATTTGCAACCCAATCCCTACTTGCCCTCTTATTTCTGAAAAGTCTGCAGCAAGTGTGGGAGTCATTAAAAGTTTTTACTTGGAAAACGGCCATTTTGTTGTTCTAAGCGCAAAAAATCATCCAATCACATTCTTCATTACTACACTTGGCTCAGGCTCTGACTTTGTCATTCTTCACCCACTTGAATTGTCTTCCTAGACTAATATTGTAGTCTTTGACAACATTTTTAAAGTGTTGCAAACTCACAAACTCCATCCCCAGCTCTAAGTGTACATGACCAAACACCTCATCCACATTAAACTTTGGATTGACAACCCTTTCAACCTCCTCAGCACCACTTGAAGGAGGAGTGTTCAACTCTTCAGAGTTATACCCATACCCATCCTCCTCGAAAGACATTTTCTTCTCCTCCTCTTCCATTGTATCTTCCCCTGCCACCTCCTCAACAACCTTTTTTTTCTTCTTGTTACACTTTTTTTTCCAGTAGCCTTACCTATACACTCTAACTCCTCTTCACTCTCTGTTTATTCTTCATACCCTGGTGGAGGAGGCTTATATGGCTCATCCTCCACACTATCATCTAAGTCAGTAGAAAACCCATCACCATTTCCACTATCATATTCATCACCTAAGGAAATGTGATCAGATCCACTTCCAAATGACTCTCGCTGATTATCCTCATCCCCATCACTGCCTTCCACAGGTGCAGGTACAATAATATCAGGGATTGCAATGCAATCTTTAAAATATATTTCTATGAAGTTCTCATTACTTAATGCAGCCTTAACCATCTCCACAATATCAGAGTCCGTACTCAGAGGCCATAAACCTACGTCTAAATCCATTGCGTTTGGCATAAGCCACAACATCTCCTTACAAGTCTCATACCCATAACCCTTGAACAGAGTATCAAGGTCACGCAGGTTGACAAAGTCAGCATCCATCTCAGGTAAATCAACTACTTTGCCATTTGCATAGGTTAGGACCCATTCATCATCTCTGATTAACACACCCCCATGATGATACCTTATCACTATATATTCATCCATCTGTAAAAAAAAAACATACCACATGACATTTACTTCACAACGTTAACAACCAATCAGATTTTAACAACAATATGAATTTGCATATATAACTCAACACTGGCATGTAAACATACAGGGTAGTAAATTGCAAAAAAATGTCACCTTTACAAAATATGCATGCAATATAGGGACTAACATCAGGGTCCACAAAGCACTAAAAAATGCCAAAAAACTTTTCAAACCGGGACCACAGACATAAAATGGTTTGTTTTTTGCAAACCCTAACCAAATAAACAAACAATAGACCACACATGGGGGACCATATCCAACATAAAATACACAACATGTAGTGAGGGGAGACCACATATATGGAAGGATTTCTGACAACACGTACCTTAGTGCATGTAAGACAACACCCACAATCGAACTTTCCTTAACCACCAAAGAACCAGCCGTTCCAAATCCTTCACTGTCCACGCTCGATTGTCTTACCAGAAACCACCGTCTTTGACAATGCTCACCGTTCAACGAAGCTTCGGAGGTAAACCATGGGGTTCCTTGCAAGTTGAAAAACTTAAGTGAAATATGGATGTCTAACTACGGTAATTTCCAGTGTAGTTGATGAGTAGTCTCAACGCAAGAAACGACGTCGTCCGCTAATTTGAAAAGCTCTCAACCCATCTGCAACAAAACATCGTCGTCTCTTCTTCCACGCTGTCAAACATCCAAGTCGCGTCACCAAACTAACGTGCCACATGGCACCGTTAGTTTGGCCGTTACGCAGGAGTTAACAGAAGGATCAACGTGACCCCTTTTTTGTTATTTCAGGGATCAATTTGTCCCTTTTTTATTGCTAGGGACTGAAAAAGACTACGTGGATATTGCCAGGGACTAAAAATGGTATTTACTCTAAAAAAAATCAATGAAATGTTATTGGTTTTAAGAGTAGGAATACAGATTTCATAAAAAATAAAGAGAGTAGGAATACAAATATTAAAGAGCGAGAGAATAATTATAAAAAAAAAGGCGAGAGAGTAGGAGAAGCTAAAACGTAGCACATAGAATACAACACAATAGAATACATGTAGAATTCTAGATGCGTAGAAACTGTATTAACACTCTTTTCTAATGTCACCACGTGTCACATCCTCCACTCCCTTCTCAATCTCCCCTTATTACATTCGACAATTCACCGTTACTCTCTGTCTCTCTCTCTCTATCTATTTTAATTTTAATTTTAATTTTATTTTCTCCCAAAATTCATTCATTTATTTATTACTCTTTTATTTTTTATTTATATAATATTTCTGATTATTCTCTCTTTCTATATTGTTTCCGCGAACTCGATCGGCATCGGCACCAACCAAACCCACCCGAGGGTGAAAAAACGCAATTCCCTCCGATTTTGTTTCCATTTTCTCTTCAAATCAGAACTCATTCTCTCTCTCTCTCTCTCTCTCTCTCTCACGATTCCGATTTTATTCCAAAGACTCATTCTCTCCTTTTTTTTCCTTTTCGTCGGAGAAAATTAGGGTTTCTTTTCATCCTCTGGTAATTCATCTTCATTCGTTTCTTCTTTTTGTTTTACCGAACGCTATTATTCTTTTATTCTGATCCCTTTCCATCTTCTCTCTTGTTATCACGTTTTTTTTTTTTTCTTTTTTATTATCCCTTTGAATCCTCAGGTCTGTCTGGTTGACAAGAAAAAACCAAAAAAAAAAAAGGAAAAAAGAAACACAAACAAAAAAAGAGTAGAAATTTCGTTTTATTTTCTTTCATTCTGAGGATAAATTTGATTCTATTTTTCGTCCTCTGATTCCATTCTAGCTGTTTTTTTTTGTTAAAATTATTATTATTGGTTCTTCGCAAGAGACTCTGTGAAGTTTTTGGTGCGTTGTTTTAGTTTGCCATCCGAAATCGAGGGTTTTCTTGTTTGATCTCTTCCACGCCTTTTTTTTCTTCTTTTCTTCCGTTTCATATTTTTTTTCTCCTCCTAAGAACCGAAAAACCAAAAAAGTTGTAGTTTTGAAAAGAAACCCCAAAGGAAATTAGGGTTTGTTTGATTGATTGAGTTGGGGGTGTTTGTATATAGATTGACTACATTAGATGGCGTTGAATTTCTCGCATCGACCGATTTTTGGAGGGGGTCTGTCTGAGGAAAATTTGGTTTCGCCGATTAGGATGAGGAATGGGTACCGGGTGGAGGGTATTCAAGAGAAGGGTGGCGTTGATGGGTTTGGTAAGGGATGGCATGATGTTGAGAATTGCTTTGATTATGGAGGAGATAGATGTGATAGTGCTGCCACCCAGGATTCTGTCTCCAAGGACATTCTTGATCTTTTGCCTTCGGATCCCTTTGGCATGGATATCAGCACTACCTTTACGGCCATCACCGGATGGCTTGAGGATTTGGAGGTTGATTATGGTGGATACAGAAGCGATGAGCTAGGGGCGAATGGTGAGAATTACCAGCTGTTTGCTGGGTTGAATTTTATTTGGAATAATGCTATGAGGTTCCACACCTTCCCTGGGAGCAAGGGAAACGTGTGTGGTGAGGAGAAGAAGTTGCATTGGACGAGCGAATTTGGTGGATTTGGTGAGTGTTCTCAGAAAGAAGTTGGAGCTGCATCCTGTAATTTTAATTTTGGATCCTGTAATTCTGGTTTTGGTTCTGCTTGTAATGTGGATGATGTGTTGGATTACAACCTCCACTATAAAGATGTGGCAATTGCTAGCGTGTCAGGTGACACGAACATGGATGATTTGAATCCCCTTGGAGGAGATGAACTTGCTCCTCATCCTGCTTTAAGTTTTTCTCTTAGTTATCTGGGCTTGTCTGATCTTCTTGTTGTTGAAAGAGTATGCAAATCTCTGCATTCTACTGTTCGAGGTGATCCACTTTTGTGGAGAAGTATCCACATTGACCAGCCTTTAAATGAGAAGATTACTGATGACGCGCTATTGCAACTAACCAATAGAGCTCAAGGTAATCTTCAGTGTTTGAGCCTGGTGGAGTGTACTAGGATAACCGATGATGGTCTGAAGCGTGTTCTTGAAGTCAATCCCAAGTTAATCAAGGTGAGCATGCTAGCATTTTATATTTGTGGACTTCAAATTAGAATCTAAATATGTTATAGTTCATTTGTTTTATTTTGATTAAATGGTAAATTGGTGATGCAATTTATTTCAAACATCATGAGTTGGCACTTTTTTATAACTTAGAAGTCCACAAATTCTGCTTAGAACAGTGGTCGTTTCTATCATTGTAAGTATTTATGTCCTGAATTTTCTTCTTCTGTCTTCTATTACAGAGGTCAATTCAGTGCTATTCTTTATCTGGCTCTAGGATTCTTTTTCAATTATCGTTGATGCCTATATGGACGTAGTTGAAGGAAATGCTTCATTTTTGTCCAAAATAATTAAAACCCATATTCTTGACTTTAACTGTGTATTTGCATTGCTGATTTCAAGACCTGACAGTATTTGTCCAAAATAATTAAAACCCATATGGACGTATTTGCATTATCGTTAGATGCCTATATGGACGTAGGTTTAGGAAATGCTTTATTTTTGTACAAATTAATTAAAACTCATATTCTATTGTATTGCCATTTGTATCCATTAATCGATTATAGATCAAGTTGAGGAAAATTAATTGTTCAACTGTCGACTTTGATGTATGCAAGCTCTTTCTGTTTAGATGCATTTCAAATTAAATAATTCTTGTGCATTTGACAGATCTTGGCACCTTAAAGTTAGTTTTTTTATTTGTGGTAGTTTCATATACCATGGGATTTAGTGGTGGTCTGCTTAATAATCCCTGACTTTGACATCTATTATTGTATTAACTGCTCTCTGAGCATCGAATACTTAACCAAAATTCAGTGTTATTTTCCATCCATATTTTTGACAAGTAACTAAGTAATGTTTTTCGTTAAACTATGCAGTTGAGTGTTCCTGGATGTACAAGACTAAGTATTGAAGGTATTGTGGGTATTTTAAAAGCTTACAACTCTATGGGTAGCCAAGGGGTAAAGCATTTGCACATTGGTGGCCTTTACGGTGTTACACAAAAGCATTATGAAGAACTGAAGCTCTTGTTGGGTCCTGATAGCCAGCTGCTGCAGCATTCTCCCAAACCACACTTCTATTGCAGGGGAAACTTATATCTGTCCCTTGATGATGATCGAGCCATAGATATTGAAGTATGTCCAAGATGCCAGAATTTAAGGCTTGTATATGATTGTCCAGCAGAGGGTTGTCAAGGGGTGGGGCACCCTGCTCAGGTGTGCAGGGCATGCACTCTTTGCATTCCCCGGTGTAGTCAGTGTGGACACTGCATCAATGACAGTGAATATGAGGAAACATTCTGCCTGGAATTGCTTTGCTCATCTTGTTCTAAGCAGCTAGTCAAATGTTTGGAAAGGACGGATAGAAAGGTTGGGCCAGCCAAGTCAGTTGTTCTCCATGAAGAGAGTTAGACGGGCTTTGTTTTCATAGTATCTTATGGAAGTTCTTATGATGAATAAAGTCCCCTATGGAGTCATATGAACTGTTGGGTGCTGTCTGTGTATTTGGTCTCGGAAATGGGGTGCATTCAATGTGGATTTTCTTGTTAAAGATAAAGTGGAAAATGACTTCATTTTTGTGTTTCTGCAACTACTGGAGTAACGTGCTGGAACCAATTGCCATGGTTATCGATCATATCGATCACCTATTGCATTGTTGCAATGGGTTTACATTTACGTGGCACTCTCTGATTATGAGGGCTGCAGTTGGAGCGCTATGCTTTGCAGTGCGACCTTTCTTGTTTGGGTCACATTCTGATAATATTTGTGATAGCTCTGATGCAAGACCAGTTTGAATTATCTGATCTTTAGACTTGCGGTTACTTTTTCATTAGCTGTATTGATAATTCACACTTGACATGATGTGGTGTATGTACCCTGTTTATTCTTCTTTGCCATCCTTGGACAAGAGATAATAAATAAAGGGGTATTTCGATGTCTTTTTTTGGTAGTTTAAGGGGAATAGCCCAATATTACGATGTCTTGAAATCCATGCTTATGCTATTTTTAGTTTGTGTGAGGTGAAATTCATTGATGGTGGACGGTGGAGCTTAAAATGAGTACTTTTTTTCTACTGACTGTCTGTAATTTCTTCTAAAATGACAGCCTTGCGCCTTGAAATCGAAATTTATCCTGATTTATGTTTAATGTTTATTTATCTTACCTCACAATAGAGGGGATCTGAAAGAATAATGTATTTTAACGGAGAAAAATGTTTTGCGTAAGTAATTAAAATACGGACCATCCCAATTTTTTGGCTTGAAGTGGTTTCCATTAATGAAACAGACCTACTTTTAGTCTTGTCTCTTTTAATGCCGATAAAATCACAGGTTTTTAAGATTATATACTCATCATTCTGATCTGGCCTTACTAGAATACATTGGCCAAATACGTGTAGCTGCTTGAGGACATGATGCTAAACAGCGGCTCCAATGTTTGGATCAATTACGAGCTAAAGAGTTTACAATATAACACTCGGCCATTAGCTCTTCCTTTTGCCTAAGACGAGTGCATAAAAATTTATTTAAAAACAAAAAGAATTGTTGAGTTTGATGCACCGTCGCAATGAATAGTTTTAGCCAATTTTAATAAAACCGGATCGGCCGGAAGGGTTGACTTGAGAATCAGTAAATCAGTCATATGATCGGTCCGAGTAAAGCAACGGACCAATCATGCATCAGAACTGGTGTGACCCGGTACGACCCAGTCAATTTTGGTGAAAACCGGTGATCCAGTCGGTTATCAGGTGACTCGGCTCGATCCAAAAAAAATTCCAAAAAAAGATTTTTCAAACAAAAATTATAATGGAGATATTTAAGTATTTTTTTACTTATTGACTTACATATGTTATGTACATGTAACACTAATATTATCTCAATTATGCTCTATGCAGAAAATTTTGATTTGATTTATAACTAGAGATGTCGTTTACTGAACTTGAAACCCCGTATCACGATCATTATATTTTTGTTTGATCCTTTATTGGATAATAATGTATGATTTGTTATTTTTTACATTAAAATATTTGAATTTTTATCACTCCTTTTTTAAATATTTGAGTATGTTTATTAATTTTTAATATAAATTATAGAATTACATATAATAATTGGGGTCATGCGATTCAACCAATGATTCACTAACTGAACCAATGATCCAGTTCCTTGATCAGGCCGATTTTAATAATATTGATTTATTTTAGCTACTGCCTGCAAGCTTGAGCTACGGCAGTTTGTTACCCCAAAACATGGATGTCTTGTTGGCCATTCAGCTTAAACTGGCCTCCTAAGAAAGTTATTCTTCGCTGCTCGGTTAAATATCGGAAGATGTTATTTTGCTTCAAGCATATGAAGACTTGTATAGGAGGAAAATAGGCTGTTAAGCTAGTTGCTTTCTGTTGCTCGGGAAAAAGGAGAAACTAAGGTATAACATAAATGAAAAGGTGTAGTCAAAGTCATTCAAAAACCTTAAATTACGTTTTCATTGCCTTGGCTTGGTTGTAAACTTTTCTGGAGCATAATATTCTCGCTGGTGTAAGGCAAAGAGCCATCCATAGCGTGATACTAAGGAATGGTCAAAAGAAACAATGACCAAAAGAAAGAGATACAAGAAGCCATTATTTATTTATTTATTTATCCACTGGCCTACTTAAAAACAAAACATAGTGTAACATTTTGCGATTTAAGAATGAATCTTTGTTTAATACTTGCATGGAGAAAAAACATATAAATTAAGAAACGCACAGGATTGTAGTAAATTTTGGCAGCAAACTAAAGAAAATGAGGGTGGGATTTATTATATTTAACGGGCAAGTTTCATAAAGGAAAATGATAATGATATTGTGTTCTTAATCTCCAAGACCCAGAAGCTTCTTATATGGTCAATACTGTTGGGCCGTGCAGGGAAGTTTATAGCGGAGAGAGACCGCCAACCATTGGCTAAGTGAACAACGACATTAAGTGAGCTTAGAACACCACAGTCAAACCCAAAATCATAAGGCATTAGGTGTATGGGTTATTTCAACAAATACAATGATGATGCCCATCATTTCTGAGTTTTCTTGCGGAGGTCTTTTATCCATTTGAAGCTTAGAACAGCCTTCCCTAACTTGCTCTTGGATGACCCATTCTTCCCTTTCTTGTCTTTGTCTGATGCTGTCCCTGGGTCTCTGGGTTGCTATCCCATTGATCAGCCCAGGATTGCCCTTCAGAATCCATATTTTCTTTAAGAGAAGTTTTGAATGAAGGACTCTAGAATTATATCATAACTGATCAGTTACTTATTTTAACCTTCGTAGGTAGGATGTGGATTATTTTCTTTTAACCGAATCAACAAGTATTTGGGGTAAAAGATTAGTTAAATTTGATGGTCTCATTTGGCTAAACCATTTCAAATTAAACCTAATGCTGCTTTAAATAGCTTTGTTTCTAGCAGACAAGAAAGGTAAATTACTCTTTTCATTGGTTCATCTTGTGTGGCTAATAACACCTACTTGACTAAGTCACCTTGCAAGATATAGGTTCAACAAATGATGGGTTTCATCTTTCCTCGTATGCTTCTTAAAGTGGTGTTATACAAATGATACTGCAAACACTCCATTTTGATTCGGTCCTATTTCATTTTTATTATTTTTTATTTTATTGTTGTCATTTATTTACTCAAAAATAAAAGAAAGGAAAAAGTAAAGAATGAAAGAGAGAAGAGAGCTTAATTTTTAACATTTTTTTCAAGCAAATAACACATAATTGGACATGAAAATGTTATACAGAATCAATATTACAATGTTGAATCAGTTGCTTAACCTACAACTTGTGAACTCCAATCAGCTAAAAAATTCAACATGACCTGCAGTTTCTCTGCATAATAGCTTTGTTTGACTAGCTAACTTAATGCTTTTAGCAATTGCTAAACCTGTCTTCTCGTGTCTAAATGAAGGCTTAAACGAGTTCACCTGTTCTTCACATCCCAATACCAGAGCTTCCCTAGCCGGAATCACATTTTCCCACCAAAACTCTCTCAAAATCCCATGTAACAAGTCCCAATAAGCACGTTCCCTGACCACACGAAATATAGTGCTACCATTTGGTGTCCAGCAATACAAATCAACCCATTCACAGTCCAATATCTCCATTTGGCCCTGCACCTGAGGCATGTAATAGAAAGGCATGGTTGACCATGGCAAACCTGTCTCAGGCTTGCCCTTGTTATAAGGACACTTGACTTCCAATATCCCACCTTCTGGGAAGCACCCAAGAAGACCGTCAGGGGAAGCACCAAGCCAACCATAACGCTCGTTCGAATGAACCGCAAACCCCATAAAGCTCACCTCACTACCTGTGATTTTTTTATACTGATCTATAGCTGCTGCTTCATTGAGCATTCCCCATGACATTGCATTTCTTTGAGAAGCTTCCGTGATTTGTGCCTCTAACGCAAACACTTTCTCGTGCCACAACTCAACGCGACGGCTCCCTTTCCAAAACCCCAATGCAGTACTGAATGTGCTTGTAGTCAGCTTGTCCCTTCTAAGGGCAAACCACTCATCTGAACGTTGTGGCACATCAGAGACTGAAACTTGGGAGGCAAGTACTGTAAATGAGGGGGACTGAACAATGATAGGGTCAATTGTAGAAGATATTGATGGTGAGGCACATATGGAAAGATTTCTTAAAAATCCTTTTCCATACTTTCTCCTGGGAGATGGTGATACTAATCCTTTCTGGAGAATGCCACTGAATCTAATCATGCAGGAATTGCTTGTTGCTGAGATTGTCATCTCCATTCATTCCCAATTCCTCAAGAGGAAGTATCTACAAGAAATCAGGTGGTAATAGCCAATGAGTTAGTAAAGTATGTTAAAAGATATTTCTTTAGAATATGCAATTAATAGAAGAACTTGGAGGAACAACAATACAGAAGTGTATAAATTGTGGGAACATTTGGTACAAGGAAGCACAATCTGCTGTTGTCATACTCATACTCATACTCATACAACAAAAGAAAAATGCCAAAGCTTGCCACACAAAAAATGCATTTGCTTCTGGTCATCTAAATGCACTGTTTTGTTAACCTTGAGCACAATCATAAAAATGAAGTACTCTACAAGAACATGTTTGCTAGGTATCTCGCGCTATTTAAACTAATAAAAAAAGTACTCTTTTTTATATATAATTTAACAATGCAGGTATATTATATTCTCCAAATTCACTTATATGTTTGAATTTATGAAAAGGAATGGAACCAAGGAAAATAAAATGAATAACATCAATTACAATTGTTCGGACTATTTAAAATATAGAGGAATGAAATCTATTATTTACTAATTTCCCTAACACTTCATAAGAAATGAAAACTCCTCTCTATAATAATACAACAATTTTATTCCATTCCATTCCACCCATCATTTTTTAAAAATAAATAAATATAAAAAAGCAGAAACAAGATAATGGAGAGAACCCAACCTCCCTAACCACAGAAAAATCAGAAACGGAACGAGCAGCAACAACAATAATAATAATCTATTTCTCTTTTGCAAAAAATAAAATAAAATAAATACAAAAAATCCAACACAATATCCGTGGATGCTAACCTAACCAAACATTAAAAGAAAAAAAAAAAAAACCTGCGGCAAATCGAGGTTCAGAAATCCTAAGACTGTGTTGAGTTCATTTCAGCTGAGAAACGCTACAACAAAAACCCAAAAGTCATATTAGCCATAGCGATAAAATGAAGAGAAAGAAAACAAGAAAAGAAACTATAAAGTAGAAACAGCAATAGGCCCAAATCGAATACGTCTTTCTCATTCTTTATTTGGGCCAACGTTAAAGCCTTTTTTCTCAATTTGGGCTGGGCCGCTGAATTATCCACAAAAGTTAAAGAAAAATAAATAAATAAAAAAATAAATAATAATAAAGAAGCTTATGCGTGACGCTCCGTTTGTGGTTCGAGTGGAAAAAATTTGACATTGAAATTGTGAATTGAAATCAAATAATGAAGATGTGAGAAAAAGCGCGGGGCATAGTGTAATAGATTTTGTAAAGATGATGATGACGATGATGGGAGTGTGTGAGAGTAGCGGCGGTGAGGAAGAGATAAGGGCGACGAAGAAAAGAGCGGAGACATGGGTGCAGGAAGAGACGCACACTCTCATTGGCCTCCGTCGTGAGATGGACGCGCTTTTCAACGCTTCCAAGTCCAACAAGCACCTTTGGGAACACATTTCATGCAAGATGCGCGACAAGGGTTTCGATCGATCCCCGACCATGTGCACCGACAAGTGGAGGAACCTCCTCAAGGAGTTTAAGAAAGCCAAACACCATGACTCCGACACCGACATTCTCGGAAATGGTTCCGCCAAGATGTCTTGTTATTACAACGACATTGACGACATACTCAGCGAGAGGACCAAGTCCCTTCACTACAACACCAAACTTGATTCTTTTTTGCACTTCCCAGATAAAGCTATTGAGGATACCAGCCTCTCTTTTGGGCCTGTTCAAGGTATGTTGATTTATTTTAACTACCAACTCATTGGATTTTTGTGTAATTAGATAATTGAAGATGTATTTATTTAGCAATTACCAATTCAGGAGATGGAGAGTGTTTATTGGAAGGGATTGAGTTAGATTTATATTTGTTATGTCTTATGAATTTTTCCCCATTCATTGTTCCCATACTAGTAATTGTCATGATACTCGAATTCCTGTCATTCAGCTACTGGAAGACCAACTCTCAACCTCGAGAGAAGTTTGGATCATGACAGACATCCTCTTGACATTACCACAGCTGATGCTGTCGCAGCTAGTGGGGTTCCTTCATGGAATTGGAGAGAAACTACTGTAAATGGTAAGATGAGTTATGTGAAGTTTCTTATTTTGATGTTTGTTCGATTACCTTGGAGGTAAGGGAAAATGACAGAGAAAAAGAGAATTTTAGTATTGTGTCGGATCAAGTGTGCTCAATTTGTGTATATGACAGGATTTCTCAATGACTAACACCTTTTTGACTAATCATGTTGTTTTTGTTTTTTATAAGTGATAATGTTTTATACACAAGTTTTGTAGCTTGAGTCACTGGAGGTTTTTTCTTCTTCTGAAAAGTATTATAAATTTAGCTGTTTCACCCCCCAAAAGAGTATGCAAAAAAAGAAATAGTTTCTTCCCCCTTTTTCTTTAGCTTAATTATTTTCTAATTTTGTGATTTCCCGTCTTTCTATTTTGGCAGGTGAGGAAGGTCAGTCTTGTTGCGGAAGGGTTATATCAGTCAAATGGGGCGATTATACGAGAAAGATAGGTATTGATGGTGCTTCAGAAGCCATCAAGGAGGCAATTAGGGCTGCTTTTAGGTTGAGGACGAAACGTACATTTTGGTTGGAGGATGAAGACCAGATAATCAGAAGTTTTGACCGTGACATGCCTTTAGGAAATTACACTCTTCACCTTGATGAAGGTAATTTAAACTCGGTTTATTCTTCTTGCGACTGCTTGAATTTGTGCAAACTTAAATTTGTTGGCAAAAGCTGGTTTTAAATGCTTGTCAGACATTCATTGACTCAAAGATTCATAAGCATTTGTGCTAGGTAGTGCATTTTCATTTTACTTGTGCACACGCAAAGGTAGCGATGTGAGGGAGAGCTATTGATGGAAAGTTGGAAACCTATCGCTGTTGATGTTATTTTCAGTGGAAAAATGAGCTCAGATAAGTGCATTGGAAGTGTGTAAAGTTTTTTTTTTTATTTCCGTTGTTTGAGAATTGAGACTTTTAACTTTGCAACAACCCGTGGAGCCTCACCTGTCACTGTATAATTCTAATGGCTAACGAGTAAGCCTTATCAACAGAAATGGTTAGTAAGAAAAAAAGAAAAGAAAAGAAAACTCCTTCTGGTCATCCCTATGGTTTGGGGTTGGTTGTTAATAGTTCGGTTCATACTCAAATCTAAGATGTTCATCCTGTAAAACTTTTTTAAAGTATTAAACAATATTGGGATTGGAATAATCACTGATAGATTGAATGGCCATAAAATTTTAGGGTAGACTACATTTTACGCTCTTGAATTTATGGTGTTTTTGAGCTTGATATGTAAACTTTAAAACTTTACATTAAATCCTCTTAGTCAAACTGGAACTTTTAAACCTCAGTCAAAAGTGTCAGTAGCAGACATGATCCGTGCTCATAATCTTGGAAAGGAGAAAGGAATACTGTGGCTAAAGCAGAGATCCCAATCCCACTCTTATTATTCCCTTCTTCTCAATTTATCATCTTTATGGAAAGTAAAGAAATCCTACCTCTTTCTCTTTCCATTTTCATCTTTGCCACTTGCAATGTGCTTCACTGGGTTAGCTCATGAACAGCCGAAGTTGAGAAAGGATAGGGAATGGACTTGAGCTATCATGATTCATGTGGCAACAACCAATTTATGATGGCTTCGACAAAAATAGAGTGGAGAGAAATGCTATGATCACAGGGGGAGGAAGATTAATGCACTAAATTTTCATTGAACTGAATTATAAAGAGTTTCATGATGTCCTTAAATCTCTGTTTGTAAAAATACCCATCTGCAGTCACATGAAAGCTTCTACAACCTAAAATTCCTTGCATTACACAATATCAAGTAATGATACACAATTGAGCCTGGTCCGATGGCTACTGCGTCTTGAGGTTCTGCTCCATGCTTGATGAACTCTGCTTTTACGAGATGAAACAGAGCAGATGAGGTGGACACGAGATTCATAGGCTTATTCTGTCTTACTCAACTGAGTAGTTAATGATTTCATTTTACTATTTACTATAAAAGTTCTGGGAGTTTCAGTGTAGAGTTTTTAATTTTGTGCATTGAGTTTGTGGAACCCTTTAAATTTTGGGGTAAACTGTATTTTAACCAAAATATTATTATGATTAAAATTAGATCTTCCCTTCCTTTCATAATAGAAACGTATCCTCGCAGTAACATATAACTATCATTGCAGGAATGACCATTAAAGTATGCCTCTATGATGAGCCTGACCATATCCCTGTGCATACTGAAGAGATCTTTTACACTGAAGATGATTATCGTGATTTTCTAACCCGCCGGGGTTGGACTTGTCTAAGGGAATTTGATGGCTATAGAAATGTTGATAATATGGATGATCTTCGACCTGGTGCTATATACCGAGGGGTGAGTTGAGTAGAGGTAACACTGTATGATCAATCTTTAGCTATTTGCAAGCCATAGTATTGGGTTAGTGACCAGGAGTTTTGGGTTTTGGTAATTTAAAGGTCATAGGTTCAAACTTGCAGTCTATTAAAAAAAGAAAAAATCTTAATTTATTTGCTTAAAATGCCAAGTGAAGTGGAAGGGACTGTCTAAATTTTTTGACATATTTGGGGCACTAACCTGGATCTGTATCTTGTTTAGTTTTTGTAATGCTTCAAATGTTTTATGATAGGAAAATGGACGAGGCCGTGTGCTCCAATCAGTTGCCTCGACATCTACATGTCTGTAAATATGATTTTGGCAATGAGATCATATTATTTCTCTAGATTTTTTATATAGTATTGTGGTCATAACATTTTATATTTACTTCTATGCAGTGTATCGGGACAGTAACCTTTTTGTTTTTACATGCTGTCTTAGCTATGACTCACAATAAGCCGAGTCAACTCATAGCGTGGTTCATTAACAATTAAATTAATTAAAATTTTCCACCTTTGGGAGGGGTTTAAAGCTTTAATTCTGGACCTCTCCCGAATCAGATTAGTTGCGAAGCAATGAACCGATTGGAATATTTGGAAAAAAAATTAATTAAAACTTTTGTCTCATTTGATAAATAAGCTTAAGTTCTTACATGTTTGATTCATTAGCTCACAAGTCAATTTAATGTTTATATTTAGTTTTTTTTTCTTCCAAATGATAACAATTATTTAATTATATATATATATATATATATATATATATATATATATATATGGGGTAGGATCTTTTAACACTTCATCTGAGAGTCGTTAGATTAAAAAAGATTAATGATTCTGATTTGTAAGCATGTGCCATTGTTTTAGCGGCTCTTAGATGAGGTGTCAAATTTAAAATGATATCGGTGTCAAATTTAAAATTTGACACCGATGTCTTATTTGATCTTATAACTTTTTTTTCTTTCATTTTGATTTCTTAACTTATTGAAAGTTAGACGACAAAGTTGTGTCAATTAGCAATTTGTTAGAACTAACAAATCCCTATTACGTGGCTTAAAAGGTCATCGAGCATGCCAGGAGGTTGAGTTTGTAGCTTGCAACAGATTCTTCAACCCAAAATATACCTCAAATTGAAAACACTTATCAATCCTTAAACATACCCTACGACCATTTTAAACCCTAAATGTACCTTCCTCTGCATACAGAACCACTAATGCATATCCCATTTGTACCTTCTACCTAACCACCATTTGAAATCCTTAACGTAGCTCAAAAAGTAAAAGTCTTAATGCCTGTTTGGATGATTTTTTTTTCAGTCAGAAATTACTTTTTTTTAAAAAAAAAAACACTTTTATTTTAAAGTGCGTTTGGATACTGCTTCTAAAAAAAGCAGAAGACGTAAAAAAAAGTTAAAAACTTACTTATTTCAAAAACTAAAAATTTTAACTTATCAAAAAAGCAATTCAAAAAATAAATATTTTTTTAAAAATCTAAATAGTTGTAACTTTAATAAAAAGTACTTTTAAAATAAGTAGGACATAAAAATAACTTTTTTTAAAAGCAATCCAAACGCACTCTTAGAACTTTTTTGGGGGGTATTTGTTTAGGTAATTTTATGCTTTCACGTGAAACAGTAATCTTGTTTGGGATACTGAAATTGTTCCTCTCTTCAAAAAAAAAAAAAATGTTCCTCTTAATAATATCCTTACAAGTTTAAATTATTTGTATTGCATAAAACATCTCTTAGCAATGTGTCTCTTCAAAATTACTTTTTCCGCTGGAATTTTTTTTGACATTTTAAGGCAAAGAGTTATTAATTCACGAGTTTAATTACCAAACACAAGAAGAGGGTTGAAGATGCAGTCTATATCCAAAATATAATTAAATATCCAACAGTAAGTCACAAGTTTTATTATCTTTTCTTTATTTTTAATCTACAATTAATTTGATTTTTTTTTCTACACTTTTATATAATGATCCGTTGGCATGTAACTAAAAACATTTTTTTAGTAAGTAAAAAATTCAGATCAAGGGAAACCATGTTCTTTGCAAATAGGGGTGAAACTGGGTTGAGATGGGTCGAGCTTTGCCTTAAAAAGTTCAAGCCTATGACAAAATATTCTAATTTGACCTTGCTCGATAGTATAGCACGAGTCTAACTATTAGTCTGGTCTGTCTCATTTATAAAAAATAAATGGCCTGTCATGTCCCGTTAGCCTATTAATTTTTAACTTCCAAGTAAAACATGAATCAACTTAACAAAAAAACTCAAATTATGTTGTTAAAACAAAAATCACAATTTCAATATCCAAACAGAACCATAAATCACAACAACAGCTTATCACAATCTGCTTTTAAGTCACTCTTAAAAGCAAAATGCCCAAATTAAATAACATATATTTCTTCAGATCCAACAAACCAATCTATACTATGTAAATTAAAATAACTAAACGAATCCAACAAACACATCATGATGTTTGTAATAGCCAAAAATTTCTCTTCATGTTCTCTCCCCTACAAATACAATTCCAACGTTACATAAGTTGGCAAACAATTTGTAAATAGTACAATATTGACCGGTCTGTAGACTTATAGGTCAGGCCTTGTGAAAGTGGGCCTACGATCGATTTATTAAATAAACTTTTTTCAAGACCCGAGTCCGGCCTATTTTACGAAATATATTAGATCAGATTTGACCTAATGTAAGCTGAGCCGTAGACCTCTGTAGACCGGTCTGGCTCTTTTCAGTTTCATCCCCTACTTGCAAGGTCCGAAGAATATCAATCCGGAAATCGAACTCAAGTCACGGTTAGAGTGGACATGAAATTATTTAGCTATAATAAAAGTTAATTAAAATTTCAAACATTCTTGTGAATAATTTAAAATTTTATTAATGTAGCTTCACAAATAATTATATAAAAAGTTTTTACACCAGCATTGGATAAAAATTAAATCCTATAGTTTTATACAATTTATATACTAATATCCTGTTAATGTGTTAGAGATAAGCTATCGAAGTATAAGTTCTGAGCTAATATGAACTTCGATCAATTGGTTAAAGGAATCTATCGATTATAATTTTGACAAAATTAAACTAAACATAAGAATTTTCATTAGCTGAAATAAAGTTGTAAAAACTATCCATCTATTTAAAATTTAAACGTATGTAAACTCATCATTTTATGAAAATCTTGATTAAAAAAAAATTGGTCGTCTAATATTTTTTATTTGAACGAAACTTTTACGCATTCCACGTGAACGAGTTTGAATGCCCTTCTGAGTAATCGGTCTGGTTTGGTGGGTCATCAATGCCTCAGTAAATCTCTGATCCCTGCCTAAATTAGAAGTGTTAAAAATAACATATCCTTCATATGTTTTTGTTAAGAAAGAAAGTTGTAAGTGATGAGACTTTATGTGAATAGAATTTGGAAGCACCTAGGTTATAGAACCGTGGTCCTCCCTCTCGAGGCTAGGCTCCCAGACAATTAGAATAGGGTTAGGGTGCAAAAGTCTAAAAGATAGGGCTAATTTTTCAGCCTAATGTCATTATGTCGACATTATGACACTTCATGGTCGACATTCCACAACCTCTGTCTTTCTCACTTGTATCGTTTCATTCTCTGTCATTTTTTCATAAGAATCTTGAACCGAATAGGACGTGTAATTTACATGGGTATCTCTAATAAATAACTTTTTGGATTCTACTGAGTAAGTATGCCTCATCTTCCCTCCACGTGGATGAATTGACTTTGTCATTCGTCTAAGTGGTCACATGTGCTATTGGATTCTAATTGATGAGAATTCTATTTCTCATTTGGTAACCCGTGTTGCACTGGTTAATGTCTTTGTCCAGGTCTTGCATTGTAACAATGCTTTCATCAGCACAGTAATAATGTCGTCTTCTTTTTTGCATTTTTTATTGTTTCAAAACCAAATTTAGTACAACAATTATGTATCTATCAGACATTGACTGAAAAATGGTTCTTATAATTTTTTAACAACGTAAAATAATTTATATAATTTTGATAAACGCAAACTGGTTCTATATAATTTTACTCTAAATAAGGAACAAACAAATTTAATAAGAACCATTCTATCCTTTAAAAAAATGTTTGTGGCAGAATTGACTGACAAGATCTCATTATTAGATTTAATTTCAAATAACTCGATCTTGGCCATTTGATCACAAGGAGTAAGTGATTTAGCAATTTGCATTGCTGCTTCCATTGAAATAGGATCTAAAATAGATGCTAGTTTCGATTACCCTTCAGCGTAACACAACTAGAAACCTTTCATTCTGAAAAATAGTATTCCTTACTAATATTCTGAATCTTGCTACTATTGAACAATTCCCCTACAAAGGTTACAAGATTCCCTACCGTAGCAATTTTGAATGAATCCTCCAATATTCTATTTACTTTTCAGGACTCTAGCTAAATGAATATTGTTACGAGATCACGACAAGTATATCGGTATACAAATAACAAAGTAAAGAGTAAAGTATCGCTTCCTATTGATGTATCGAGCAATAACATATCTATACGATCGAAGTAAGATCGACCTAAAAAGTTTTGAGAATATAATTCAAAATTAATAAAACAAAATTTTAAATTAACAATCAACTAATAAGATAAAAAAAACGGAAACAAGAATTCAAGAACGCAATCAAGAATGGATTGAAATTAATTATGCAAAGGCATAGCTATGGATTCAATTTCTCCAATTTCCTCCTAATGATTCTACTATTTCCTACAACTGATACTTAATTCATGTTATTGACAATTCTCTTTTTAGTGATTAAATCTCAATCCCTTGGTAATTTAACTCTTTACTTTATTCAAAATTCTAATCCCTTAGTGATTTCTCCTAAAACAAGCATTAAGAATGAGAATTAACAAGTCATAGATTTATAAGTCTACCCCTAGATCATACAAAATTCAGCAATCAATCAATCAGAATCCTACACCAATATCCCTATTGTTATGCAAGACTCATGTGTTCATTCATAATTGCCAGATCATAAACAAACTAGGAGTGAAAAATAAATTAATTGCATAACATAGAATCAACCATTAATTACAGAAAAGGAATAGAAAACATTAAAAATTCATTGGTTCTATCTACCCTAACCACAAAGAAACCTAACCTGACATAGTTAGGAGAACTAAAAAAATAGAAAAGAAACTAAAGAGAAACATAAAAGAACGAAGTAACAGGTCTCCACGATGAAGCCTTGACCGTTCCTCTGCATTCTCCTCTCCCCCGGGCTCGTGTTCTGCCTCCCAAGTCGTCCAAGAATGAATAGAAAACCCTAGGTTAAGTCTTTTAATCGCAGGAAGTCCATGGGTCCTTTTTTACGACGCTGCTCGCTCAAATGAGCAAATTCACGAGCAAATTTGACATCAAAAATATGG